AACTGCTTAATAAGGTAAGAGACTCTATTGCTATATAACAACAAAAGTTAATGGATTAGGTAGGGCAAAGCTAGATTCAGGTATTCAAATAATGTCCCCAATGATCCTATTGCATAGGCCAGCACAACTCTCAGGCAGGCTCTCCCCAGACAATGACAAGTCTCTGGGCTTCTATCTGACCAGTTTAGCAATCCCAGCAAGATGTAAGAGCCTCTCAGTTCCCTTCAATCCTATACACCGGCATTGTCTCTGATTCAGCCACTTTGAACCCTTCTTGGCCTGGGCAGGGGTACAGGCTGGAAGGAGAGGCCAACTCTACCTTAGGGTCATGGACTCTCTGTCCTGAGTTCAGAACCGAAGCCATCTTATCTTAATTACATGGACTGATAAGCATTTCCAAAGGAAAACCAGTGTTGTGTTATAAGAAGTAGGTGGAAGGTTGGGTGTCATATAGGTAAAAACTGCAGATGTAGTGGAGATTGGAAAAGTAGGTTGACAATGATACTAAACTGAGTGCTCTGAGACAGAGGGATGGGCAATCTTGAAATCTGGTGACATGTTCAGGCATCTTCATTTTCTCCCTACAGAGAAAAACCATTATACAACAAACTATAACTGTTAGGAAATGAGGAGGGAAGGGTGACAGTGACGTCAATAAAGTCCTCAAGGCAAGACAGGATAAAGCAGAGCCATACCTATTCATTCTTGCTGGTTAATTAGGTCAGTGCTCACCATGGAACCATGGAACAAAACCTAGGTTTTGAAGACGTATTGTATGAGTCAAATATGAAAGATACACTAAAAATTAAAGGGTACAATGGAATTTAATAAACTGAGTTTCTATTTTTAGAAGTAACTTCATTGGGTTAGTGATTGCATGCATTTATAGCTTCTGCATATAAAAGTGGCACTCAGCACTTGTTAAATAAAACAAGAAGCAATTTGTTTGTCACAATAGGCTTCATAGCACTGGTGCTCTTAAAATTTCCTGAGTTTGGGACTGTCATGAATTAAATCATGAAAAGTGGTATCTTATAAAAGAAAAAAAGTTTTATTTCCTTTGTGAAAGCTAATGATTTTGATTAAACAAATTCTAGGTGTCACATTGTAGATAATTCCATAAATAATAGGTTGATTTTTAACAAGCCTACTACTGTAGAAAAATCAAAATCCTACTGTCTGTCCCTAAGTATTTGCTTATGTTAATACCTGGGGTTGTATCTGGGAATTATTACAGCTAGAACTTTTTACTGCTTGGGCAGCCAGCTGTTGATGATTAAGGAAGAGAGACAGTCACTTTTTAATATTTTCCCATAAATAGATTGGTGAGAATTTCTTTTCTTCCCATTTTCTGTGGGAAACAATTGAAACTAAAATTTTAAACAAGCATTGCATTTTAAAAATATATTCTAAGGTCCCCAAAGAATACAGGTGTACCCACTTTGCAAAATTCCTAATGCTGAAAAATGTTAAAGATAAATGAAAAAATGTTTCCTTGAAAATACTTCTTTTCTATTTGCATAAAGGTTCACCACAGAGTGTTTCTGTTTAGCTAAACATCTTAATCACTTCAGGCTGCTATACCAAAACACCATATGCTGGGTGATTTATACAACAAACATTTATTTCTCACAGTCCTGAAGGCTGAAAAGCTCACAGTCAAAGTGTCTGTAGATTGGGGATCTGGTCAGGCTGCCCTTCCTGGTTTGCAAGTAGTTTGTTGTCTTCTTGCTGTGTCCTCAAATGGCAGAGAGAGAGTGAGAATAAGCTCTCTGTTTTCTCTTCTCATAAATGCACTAATCCCACCATGAGGTCCCATCTTCATGACTTCAGTATAAACATAATTACCTCCCCGAATCCCCACTGTCTACTACTATCACAGTGGGGTGTACGGCTTCAACATAAACAGTTAGTCCATAACAGTCAAGTTGAAAAACACTATTTCTGTTGTGTTTATTTAACAAATATTTATATAGCACTCAGTATTTGCTGATGTTTTACAAATGTTCACACCTTTAATACTCATAACAACTGTGCGAGGTGAACGCTATTATTAGCTCACTTTTACAGAGAAAAAACAAGAGCAGAGAGAACTTCAATAAATTGCCTATGATCAGGTGGTTAGATTGCAAGTAAGTGTGTAGCTGAGATTGTAGCTGACAGCCTTACCAAACTCTCTGTGCTCCTGAGGCAGAACATCTGCACGTCTGGCCTTCTCACAGCAGCACCGGCAGAACATCTTCCCCACCCCAGAGGTCTGCTTCTACCATGGAGAAGCAACTTAAAGCATCTACAGTTTAATTCTAAAAGAAATATTGAAGCTGATGGTGAAAAGCGAATTACATTCCTTCCTCCATATTCATGGAAGACTGGTTCCAAGACATGCCCCTCCCACCATGCTCAAGTACCTTATATAAAATGGTATAGTATTTGCATAAAACCTGTGTACATCCTCCCACATACTTCACATCATGTCTGGATTACTTATAATACTGAATACAATGCAAACACTGTGTAAATAGTTGTTATGCTGCATTGTTTCAGGAATAATGACAAGAAACAAAGTCTATACACATCAGTACAGACACAAACATGGTAGGTTAATTATATAGTAATTGTTAGCAAAGACAACAACATTTTAAAAATATGTATTTTTCTATCTGCAATTTGTTGATCCAAGGAAGCAGAACCAGTACTACAGAGGGCCAACTGTATTCACTGAGAAGGCTTCAGGTACACAGATTTTGAAATGCTCTATAGATATTCTTAGAAATCTAAAGTACATTGACAGTTATTTCTCAAGAAAGAACCTCACGAGGCAGACAAATTCAGATGACATGGATTGACATATTCTAGTAATTTAGTATTTATAAACTTAAAAAATGCATCTGTTTTCTGCTCACAGGAGTAATGGCAGGAGTTGCTTTCTGATGTCTATAGTCTTTTCTGCCCGTGGACAGCGCTAGAAAAGCGGGCTTCCTGAGCCTACCACAGCCCCTCACAGATTTTAATTGCTGTCATGAATGAAAAAAGCCTCCTACACAACAAAAAGTGTTGCTTCTGGCATTAGGAGAGTTTGGGAAGTCCCAGAATTTCAAAGAGAGAGAAGATGAGGGATTATAACATTGTTATCTCCAAATAAACACTGAATTAACCTCTGCAGTGGTTTCCGCCTCGCCTGACCCCAAGCTGTCACTGCAAAAAACCAAGGCACAAAGTGTGATTTATGAGCTCAAAAACAAACATTATTATATTTAATCTGAGATGACAGATGTATATTTAAAGAATACATTTCTTAAAGAGGTGGATAAAATGCGCAAAACACAAATTCAAGATGAAGAGAATAAAACTGTAGTGTACTGTTTGTGAGAATGCATACTGGTATAACCACTATGAAAAATGATGTGGGGGGTCCCTCAAAAAATTAAAAATGGAATTGCCTTATGATCAAGTGATTTCACTTCTGGAATACAGCTGAAGAAACCAAAAACATTAATTCAATAAAATATATGCATCCTTATATTCACTGCAGCATTATTTACAATAGTCAAGATTTGGAAGCAGACCCAAAACCCATCATTAGATGAGTGGATTAAAAATATGTATATTATACATATATACAATGGAATATAACTTGGCCATAAAAAAATTAAATCTTACCTTTCGCAACAGCATGAGTGGCTCTAGAGGGTATTGTGCTAAATGAAATAAATCAGACGGAGAATGACAAACACTATACGTTTATATGTGTAATCTAAAGAGCAAAATAAACCAACAGACTCATAGATACAGAGAACAGACTGACAGCTGTCAGATGGGAGGAGGGTTAGAGGGCTGGGTGAAAAAGGTGAAGGGATTGAGAAGTACCAAGTGATAGTTAGAGAGTAGTCACAGAGATATAAATTACAGCAAAGGGAACTTCATCAACGATATGCAATAACTATGTGTGGAGCCTGGCAGGCACTTGAAACACAGGGCAGAAGACCACTCCGAAAATAACACTATTTTCTAACCACTATGCTGGACGTCTTAAACTAACACAGAATAATATTGAATGTAAACTTTCATTGAAAAATAAATATGTAAAAAAAAAAGAAAACATAATTATGCTGAATGAAAGAACTCAGCCAAAAATGCGTGCTTCATTAGTCCTTTATAAAAAGCTCTAAATGATGCAAAATGATTTATAATGACAAAAAGATCAGTAATTGCCTCAACATAAGGCAAGTGGATACGATGTGGGAGGGGATTATAAAAGGGCTAAGGAAACTTTCCAGAATGGTGGATATATTCATTATTTTGATTGTGCTGATTGATGGTTTAATGGTTGCATACATAGATCCAAATTCAGAATAGTATTCTCTTGAAATATGTTCACTTTATTGTTTAACAGTTATATTTATAATATATAGTTATTAAGTTGAAAAAATATAAAAAACCAAACTTCAAAATATTGCATTTCCAGAGAACCGTTAGAACATGTAGTCATTCGTAAAATATTTTAATAAAAATAAAATAATATTTTACATTAAAGAAAAAAAAAAGAGGATAGCTATCAGAGGCTACCATTTCCCGCCAATTGCTTTAATTCCAACAAAGGCTTTTTTGAGAGAAGTAATTCTCTCCCCCAAGTATGAGGCACAGCCTCTATCAGTGTAAGGTGGGCCCTCCCTGCCCCGCGCACTGGGGTCACTGGGCGCCCACGGTGCTTTCCCCCAAACAGCAGCTCCAGCGCGGCGGCGACCCGTTCCAGCTTTGGGGATTTGAGCCTAAAGAGAGTCCGCCGCTTCCCGCGGACGGTCAAGCAAGGGAGGCCCCAGCAGTTCCCTGCACCCGCCACACTTCCGACTCCCCCCAGGGGCGGGGCAGTCTCTTACTTCCCGACTAAAGTACGAAATGCAGGTCCGGGAATTTCCCGGGATCAGGGGCTGCCAACTTTCCTCCTCGACTATGGATAAAAGGGGTTCGTCCGGCTCGGGGAGCCACAGACCGCGCTCCGCCAGCTCTCCCGCCAGCTCTCGCGCTCCAGGCACCGCCGCCCCGACCCTCCGAGCTGAGCACCATGGCCCGCACCGCCACCGCCGCCGTCCCCCGCGCCCCCGGACTCCTCCGGGCCGCGCTGCTGCTCCTGCTCCTGGTCGCCGCCTGCCGGGGCGCTGCAGGTGAGACTCGGGGCCCTGGGACCCAAGGGCGGGACAGGGGACGACGCGTGGGGCAGCGTGGGGGACAGCTCCCCTAACCGAGTCTGTTGTCCCCGCAGGGGCGCCCGTGGCCAGTGAACTTCGCTGCCAGTGCTTGCAGACCTCGCAGCGAATTCCCTTCAAGCAGATCCAGAGTGTGGAGGTGACGTCCCCAGGAGCCCACTGCGCCCAAACCGAAGTCATGTAAGTGCCAGGAGGCTTTGCAGCTGCTACCACAGTCCTTGTCACCTCCACAATCCAGATGCCCCCACCCTGACCCCCAGCCCATCTCCCGTCTCACGTGGGTTCTCCCTTCTCTCTGCAGAGCCACGTTCAAGAATGGGCAGAAAGCTTGCCTCAACCCCGAAGCCCCCATGGTGAAGAAAATGATCGAAAAGATGCTAAACAAGTGAGTTATGTGACTAGAGTCATTGAGGACAGAGACTGGCATCAGCACCTGAAAGTTATATCAGGGAAACCCAGGGTTTAGCTGAAGGAATGAAAATCATTATTGTTTCACAATTAGATTTGGTACCAAGGTAATTGCTGTGCTCTGGTGCCACAGGATGTTTCCAGCGCTTTCCATCCTTGTTCAAATGAGTGTGGGTGAATATGTCTTCATAAAAGAAGAAGTATATGTAGTCAACGATGCCACATTGCCTCCTGCTCCTGTTTACCTCAGTCTCTCACTGGCTTTAGAGCTGAGACGTGGACTCCCTGGTCTGGGACAGTGTGGGCCTGGGCAGTTTAATGGGGAAGAGCAGGGCCTTGGCAGCAAGACCACCTTCAGATCAAGTCTAGGACCCCTGGGAAGGTGATTTTGAAATCCCATTAAAGCTTCAGCCAGAAGGAGTAGGAGGAGTAGCTATTCCTTGTATTGGAAGAGAACTAGTGAGGTCATGCATGTAGTGTATAGCCCAGTGCGACAAAGGAGAGTCCACAGGCTCACTTCTCTCAACAAAAAGCAAGCGAGCCCTCTGCTGTGCAGGGTAGAAGGTCCGGCGGGGCCTTCTCCTGGCACAGGGCTGGGTCAGGGTCTCCAGGGAGAAAGCCGCCAGCTTCAGGGGCCTGCGTGAGAGGAGAGCAGCTTCCTGTAACACCTGTAACAGTGACCCTTTCCTCCCCTTAGGGACAGCACCAACTGACCTAGAGAGGAGAAGCTCCTGGTGGCACTTCCTGAAAGGAGGTCCCTGCCCTTAGGGGACTGCAAATGAAGAAGGGAACAATGGCTTCCTGCAACAACTACAAAGGGATTACTGTGTGTGGCTGTTTTTTATTTATTGGAGGTCTATTTATTCATATGTGTATTTATTTTTCAAAGGTTGTATGTTAACATTTCACAAGTTAGTATTTAAAGGTGTGGAAGGTGTGAATGTGTTTCAGCACACGTAACGCAGTTCTGACTGTTATTTATTTGAAGATGATGCGTGTCAAGTGTCTCATTAAACTAGTATCTGTTGGCAGACATTAAGTGCCAGGCACTGTGCCAGAGGTGGAAGGCCAGGTGTGGGAGCGGGAGTCTAAGCAACGGCACAGGGAAACCACTTGTTAGAGTCGGGGAAGGGGTGTTGCGCATCTATTTTTGTACTTTTTTAAATGAATGTCACTTATTATTTATTGAAACGATGTCTCATTAGGTGGTCAACATTTTGATGTTGAAGCTTCCCTTGGACATTTTATGTCTTCCTTGTAAGGCACAATGCCTTGTATAATGTTCATTTTGCAATGATTTCTTTGTCTTGGAACAGAGAAGTGAAAACTACTGTTACATTTTTACAAATGACATGAAAATAAACATTTTTAAAAATATAACATGTTTAGATTTTTTTTTATTCATCTTGCTCTTTTGTTTGTGCTGCATTCCCATGTTATACAGTTAGATTTGATAAGGGTGGATATGCCTTCTCACCCCCAAAATGGAATTACCTTCTGGAGGGCGGGCCCCTTGTAGTACAGGCTTCCCCTGCTAGGTGAGTGTTCTAGGAACCCATCTGTATCAGTGTACCAGCTGGCGCTGTTGTGAGAGGCTGCATTCGGCTTCAGTGATTTTCTTTTTAAGACTCTTTTAGCACGTTTGCCCATTTCATGATGGGTGATTCAAGAGCATATTTGCCCATACCGTGCTGAGTTTTTAGCAGTTTTGACCAAAAAAGACATGACCCTCATGTGCTACCCGCCCTGTTCACTCACAACTTAGTCATATAATTAATTGATATAGAAGATCCCAGGGATATTAAAAATTTGAGTCAGTTCATTAAAGCACTTGAATCAATAGATATTAGCCAACAGAAGATCCCCTATCAATGCTGAAATCAAATTAAAAAGAAATAAATCTGAGTTGACAAGAATGATCCAAGCCTCAGCTACTCTAGGATGCATCCAGCTGAGGCTGCATTCTGTGTGGGGGTGAAGCCTGGGGTGGGGACCGCGTGAGAGTGAGGAGGGTGAAGGAGTGGAGCAGAAAATCTTCCCGGCTGCTACGTGTTCTACCGGATCACAGCAGTCCTTTGCAGGCCTGAGAATTTTTATTCTAATTTTCCCTTCCACTTTATTCTAATTTAATATTAGAAGATTAACATTCTAATATTAATAACATGATTAATATTATTTGTTGAACATCAGATACATGAGGCTCCTCTTTTGATCCTTTTTGTTGTGCAGCAGGCCAACCCTGCACTTAGTGACTTACAACATCAGCTTCTTATTTCTGACAATTCCGTGTGCTAATGGGAGGTTCCTCTGCTGTCCTCTAGCCTGTGCTCACTGAAGCGGGTGTAGTCAGAGGACAATTGAAATGGCTCAAAAGTCCAAAATGGCCTCATTCACACAGGAGGTGGTTGATGGGTGCTGGCTGCTGGCTAAGATTTCTGCTGGGACATAATGATCCTCCTGCCCCTCCTCCCCTTTTAATTAGCATCATTTTACTTCTCAGGAATAAACTATGAATGGGAAGAAGGAAGGAAAAAGGAAAGGAGAGGGGGGAAAAGGAAAGTGTTGGGAACCGTCCTACCTGGTTTCAGGAACTGTAGCCTTGCCAGCAGGCGAGAGGGCCCCAAAGCTGGAGCTGAGCCAGGAGGCCTTTGGAAAATAGGCCACTGAGGAGACAAAACCTGTTTCCCTGGCAGGGGCACAGCCCCTGCCTCTGCTTGGTCCCAGAGGATGGCTGGTTAGTCAGCAATGGGTAGAACCCTTCAATGGCAGGGGCAACCTCAGACAGTCACAGTCTCATGGGAGCCATAAAGAAAGGACTTGGGGGACATGGAAAAATGGCAAAAGACCCTCCCTCTCAGCTTTGTTTTGGCCGGAGTCCTCATTCTATCTATAAGAAGTCTCCTTTTCTCTTGGCTGCTCTGCCCAGCTGCCTGGCCAGTCAGTGAAACAATCTAAAGGCAGGTACAGCCCTGAACTGGATCGGGCAATTCCCGGGGACAATTAGACCTGGAAAAGGAATGCATTAAATCCTCTGAAACTTATTTTGCTAAGAATGCTCTCAGGTTAGTCAGTACCCATACTGGGAACCACTTTGTGAGGCATTGAGAACTGTAGCCCTGCAAAAGAACACACTGTATCCACTGAAGCTTGCTCTGCTTCCCACTGCCCTGATAAGGAAAAACCAGGTATCTTACTTCACAACAAGGAGATAATTTCTGAACCCTGAAAACTCTGCCTTGATGAGCATCTGGTGCCAACTTGTTTGACAGACCTTGATTTAAGACAAAGCTCTGTGTTTCTTCAATTTATTATCTATAGTCTTTTGATGTAAATTGATAGGCTTTGCATGCATGCTGTATACCCATGAGCATATCATTCTCAAAAAATTTCTATTTCTAAGGAAGGGCTCGGGGCATTCTCCACTAGAGGAAATCACCAGCCCCTTCTCCTGACAGGCGAATTGTGTCTGATACAATTTATTTCCCCATCCGTGGCAAACCGGAGCGGCTCTGTGGAACCAGAGCCCCTCCCCCACCACAGCTGGCTCCCAAACAGGGACCTTCGAGACCTGGATCGGCCTAAGTGGCTACAAGCCTTTGTCACGGACCACACACCTACTGGATAGGAGTTTCGGCAGGCCTTTCATCCCCGGTAAGGACTCAGCCACACCATCGCTTGACTGGTTATAGTTTGGGTGTGTGTATTTCAAGGGGAAAGGATTTCTTTTAGGGCCATCTCTTGTGCCCATTTTTTAGGGCCATCTTTGTGCCCATTTAATTTCTGTCCTGCTTTTTCTCTGCCTCAGATAACACCTGACAGTTCAATTTGAATCCAAACACTCCTTGCAGGATCTTTCTTTCTCTCCCTTAAGAATTTGGCCACCTCAGCAGGCACAGGTCGAACATTTAAAAGCTGTAAGGGCGCTTGCCACTGTAAAGTCTCCCATGAAAGGATAAGCTGGACGTGGCCAAGGACAGAACCCTAGGTTTCCCTCCAGCCACAAGCAAAAGTCCAGGCAACGAGAGGCACACTGTAAAAGCACTCCCAGTCCCATCCCTGCGGCACATTCCCACCTAGGTTTAGTACTCAAGATGAGAAAGCAAGAATCTAGCTTGGAGCAAAAAGTTCTGGTTTTTCCAGACCTCTTCTCTCCTCTCCCTCCACTTCCAAACATAATTATGAAGTTTCCAGCAATTAAATAGTTAAATAGTCAGGATTTGAATGAGTGCTCTGGTCTCAGCTGGGCTCCAAAGATAAGAAACACAGCCTTGCTGGGCTCAGGGTCCTCAGGCTCTGGGTCCACTTGGGTGTCCTTATGTGAGTGAGGGCTTCACAGGAGTGTCTGGGATTAATTCCTAAAACGTTCAGGGGCCTCACAGGGAATTCCAATCCCAGTAATTAACTTTGCTCACTCAGGGATGTGCTAATAAGGGTTGGTCACCTAGCAGGGAAACCGAGACAGGTAAGAGAGTTAGGGTTAACCAAGGGGTTAAACCCTTGGAAGTCCTTTTTGTAAGCAGCACACTTTGATTCACCACACTGAACTCATTCCCTAGCAGTTAATGGGAGAACGCTTACAAGATTAGATAAGGTGTGGAGACTGAGAGAAGGCGAAAGTAAAAACAAAAACAACAGCACCCGAGCTGCAAAAATGGGCTCGAGACTTTCTAGGGAGCAGAAGACTACTCTCAACTGCTTCAGCAGCTTCTTAAGGCTTCAGGATGTCAGGTTAAAGAGAAAACTTTAACCAACTTATTGCAGACAGTAAAGAAGTACTGTCCGTGGTTTCCAGATAAAGGTTCTCTGGATTTAGAAATTTGGGGAAAAAATCATGCAAAAAACTGAAATGTCTTCAGGAAAATGGGACCTCTATAGGATATCAGAATTTATTAACTTGGAGCCTAAAAAGAAGAGCTCTTGTCCCTATTCACATTAGAAATCCTTGTAATCAGGAAAGCTCAGACTTAAAGGGAGTGGCCCATAGGGCAAATGCAGGCATGAGTACTGAGTCTAATTGCAGGGAGCCACCACCACAAACAGAGAAGGACGGCTCCTGTTGTAGCCCTCCTCCCACCCGGACTGGGGACAGTGTGCCGGAGGATCTACCACCTTTGCCTCTTCCTCCAGCAAAGTCTCCTCCGGCATTCACTCAGACCACCCCTGCAACGCAGCAATGTCTTAGAGAAGCAGCAGGGGCAGGAGACTGGGAAGCTTTGCCAGCCTTTCCAGTTGTCAGTAGGTAACGTGGACAGCCTGTCCATGAGCCGTTGCCTTTTACAATATATAAAGATTTAAAGGAGAGCATCAAAGACAATGGGCTTCAGTCACCCTACACTTTGGGGCTTATCTCTGCCATCACTGATGGCTATCGAATAGCCCCTTGTGTTGGATCGCCTGGTGAGGACTGTTCTGACCCCAGCTCAGTGTGCTGCGTGGCATTCAGAATATGCTGACCGCTGCCCCACCGACAGGCCATAGAGAACAACAGGAACGGCAACCCGGTATGGCTTAATACACTGCTTGGGACCAGTCAATATGACCCTCCTGAAGAGCAAGCCAGATTGGATCCCCGGGTTTTTCCTAAGGAATGGCCGCTTTTAGTCATTGATTTAAAAGGTTGCTGTTTTTCATTCTCCTAGCTGAAAAGGACAGGGAACCATTTGCTTTCTCCATTCTGGTTCTTAACAATTCTCAACCATTACAGAGATTTCAATGGAAAGTTCTGCCTCAAGGCATGTTAAACAGCCCGACTCTTTGCCAGCATACAACCTGTCCAAGAAAAGTTTCCTAATTTGATAATATATCATTATATGGACAACATTTTAATTGCTGCTCCGTCCTCTGAAGCACTAGCCAAAACCTATGTTTACTTAAAAGAGGCAGTCTCTCATGCCAGCTTAATTATTACCCCTGAAAAAGTCCAGCAATCTGAGCCTTGGAAGTTCCTAGGGCACATTCTTTTTCACCAGACAATTCAGTCTCAAATATGCCAAATCAGTCCACCTGAACTGTTAACTCTTAATAACCTCCAACAACTGCTAGGCGTTGTTAACTGGATTCAACCTAGCCTAGGAATTACCACCTACCAACTTACTAATTGATTCAACACCTTAACAGGTGACGCTGCTCTAAATTCCCCTAGAATTTTATGCCGCCCACCCTGGCTCTCCCAGAATTAGACCTCATCAATCGGCGTATCAGTGAGAGGCAGCTCAGAATAGACTGTAAATCCCCAGGTAGTTGTTCTGTTTTCCAACTCTAGGCACCTCCTAAAGGGTTAATCGGTCAATTGCTGCCTCAGCTAGGCATGATAAAATGGCTGTTTCTCTCCCATCAATCTCAACGT